CGCCCCGAAGCGTCTGTAACCAGCGAGAGAGCAGCCCGGAAGCGGGGGGGGGAGGCCCCAGCTGAGCAGGAGCTCCCCCAAAGCCCCCCGGCACGCACACGGAGGCGACCTCAGCGGACGTACAGCTCGTAGTTCTGGTCTTCCGTCTCCTGCTGCACAGAAAGCTCCTCCAGGGTGGCGTCAATATCGAGCTGATTGGTCTCCAGCTGCCGCAGCAGAGTCTCTCGCTGCAAGAGTCGGGGGGGAGATCAGCTGCTTCGGAGCATGCAGGGGGCCACCCAGGGGTCACTGGCTCTGGGTTGGTCTGAGCTACCCCCTCCTACTCTGCCCCAAGAGGGAGGCCAAGAACCGAACAGCAGCTTTAGCCAGCGAGGTAGCAGGCTTGGGTCCAAAGCTGGGGGGTGCGGGAGGGACGGACCCAAACCACGTGGAGGTTCTGAAAGGTTTATGTGGCTCCCAGGCCAGGCTAGGAGAGATGCGCCTCCTCGGGTCTCCTTACCCTCCCGGTCACGCTGCGAAAGGCAGAGAAGCCCTGCAGGCGACCAAGAGCCTGGTGCCCAGCCAAGGGCGCAAGAAGCGTGTCCTCTGCCCTGGGGAAGCTCACTCCTCTCCCCGCTCCGAAGACGGGACCTGGCTGTGCTGCCCCCTCCCGGCCCCTGCGAGGGAATTGCTGGCAAAGGCTTACCTGCAGCTGTAGGAAGGGGATGTTGAAGAACTTGTGCAGGTATTTGAGGCCAAAGCTGTTCTTCATGGAAGACTCGGCATAGCGAAAGTAGGAGGAGCCGGGGGGCCTGTTCAGTGCCAAAGCGGGGGGAGAACAGCACTGTGAGCCAGAGGCACCGCGGGAGGGGCCCATGCAGGCTGATGGCTTGGGACAAACCCTCCAATTGCAGCTGACGACTCAGCCTGCTGAGGGGTTATTATGCTGCCCACGGCCCTTCCAAGGGACAAGTTAATGCCAGGGTCCCTTTGAAGAAGGTGGCAGGCAGCTGCTGAAGAGGCCTGCTGCCCGTGAACTTCTACGGGGGGCAATGGCTGCTGGCAGTTCAACTTGAAACAGCTGTCCAAAAAGGCACAAGAGCTAATGGAGCAAACATCCATCCGTTCGTGGGGCATGTTCAGTTTTATCCTGACAACGTCACCTGCACCAGCCACGAGGCTGGCAGATGCTAGCTTAGATAAAGAAGATCGACCAATTTATGGAAAAGGAGACCAATAGCTATCTCTGCTTTCAGGAGCAGCCTTCTGCTGAATAAGGACTATTCCCTCCATGCCTCACTTGTAAATGTACTCATGTGTCCTAGGTGGCCAGGCAGACTCAATCATTCTTAAAGATCACACAGGAAAAGCAAAGCAGATGTACAATTATTCCGCAGGCATTTCGTGCGTACGCACATAGCCGTTCCACCCACTCATCCCCTGCTGAGTTGCTGCAGATGAACGCTGTTAAAGCAGATGCCCAGTTAACTATGGAGAAAAGACCTGGGGAGAATTCACTGACCACCTGGGGAGCAACCTGAGACAGATGTGCCCAGAGGGTGCCAGTGAGATACTAGAAAATGGAGCAAGATACAGTGTGTACATTCAGACCGCTGTTATCTTTATTTAACAAGCCCACCAGAAGGCAGGTTTTAGTTGAGTGATGAGCTAAAGTATTTGAGAGCAGAAGCGGGCTATGGCCTCAGGAGGGCTTCCCAGAAGGCGGCCTGAAGCCTAACAAGCTGGTTGTTTTTACCTGTTCAGGTTGTCAATGAATTCCCGCACATCATCAGGCAGGATCACCCGGTGCTCGCCCATGTCCCGATAGTTCCCAAGCACGCACACAGGTACGTGGGTTGGGACTTTAGGAAGTTCTCTCAGGATGTAGTTAAAGGTCCTGGATGGAGTGGAAAGCAAGGGAACGACTTGAACGGTGCCCGGCCAGACCGCTGTCCTGCCACAACAGCTCTGAAAGAGGGCTGCGCCTACAGGAGGCCCAGCAGCATACTGTAGGGTACACGACTGAGACCTCTCCCCGTGGCTTAACAAAGCAGCGGAAGGAGACTCTCCTCCTCCACAGAACCAGGTGCGTCATCAGTTCTACTTGACGCTCTCCGCTCCACAGGAGCATTTATCACCTCCGGGCTTTGTGCAAACTGCAAAGTCTGACAACAAGAGGGATTCTGCGTTTCTCAGAGCAGAGGCCATGTCTCAAAGAGCACTCTTTGTCGAGAGTCACAGCAAGGGAAAGGGTGAAGGCAGCAGTCCCTACCACTGCTTGGTGATATCAAACATCATCACGACACCGTTGCAGTTCTTATACACATCCAGGAATTCCGCATCCAAAGCCATCTCGGATTCCGCCTGGGGTGGGAAGAGAACAGGATCTCAGAAAGGCACAGGCTGCTTCCCAGGAGGAGGCACCCCGGCCAGTGATGGAGCCAGCGCTTCCCCAAAGGCTTCACCCCACTCACATTTACTCACTCTGTTACAGAACGTACAAAGTTACATTTTTACACCCCTCCTTTTAAAAAAAAAAAAAAGACAGGGGCCTCCAAAGCAAGCTGGAAAAGCCCACACAGCAGAACAATCAGACTGAAGTCTGACAAACAGAACAAGAAACTTGGTTTGGGGAACTCTGTACATTCCAGCTGGCTGCCTTTTTAGACACAAATGTCCTACTTTGTCTGCAGATGCTCCCTACTCCGCTGCTGAGCTGGAGGCTGTGACGCTGGAGGAGGCCCTGGGCAGAGGCTCCTATTCTACTACTCAGAAGATAGGTGTGGCCACCCCCAGCTATTCAACTGTAAGAGAAAACGTGGCTTTTCAACCGCTTCTGGTGGTGTGATGCCGGTGAGGCTGGCATGCTGCTTGGATCATGTATCCTTGTCAACAGGCCTGCCTTCCATTCCTGTTTCTCATGGAGGCCAGCTGGAAAGCTTAAAATGCCTATCCCGTTTCATACTCAGGGCAAGGCCCTGAGGCCAGCCAGGAACCTACTCAAGGACACCCCAGCAAACCCATTGTGGGTGCTCTTTCATGCCCCCCTCCCTGTTTACTAGCACTGCAAATCTAAAGGGCCTTCAATTCTGTTTGCCCCCTGCTTTTGGGCTGGAGTTGGCAGCTGATTCCCCCAATGAATTTGGCCTACATACACCTCAAATTATCAGAGGACCTGGGGCTGATCACAGCCTCCAGGAAACCAGAGGCTGCACCACATGCAAACGGAGGATTTGATGCTTTACAAGACTGTCAAAGCGTGCCTCACCTCCTGAGGATCGTTGTCTAGTTTCAATCCATCTCCCCGTTTTTTGCACTTGCCTACAGTATTTGAAAGGAAAAGGAAAGGAAAAACTGCTGTGAAAGTTGTCAGTCCCCCAGCTGAGCAGAAGAAAGAGCCCCAAGCATGCAGCTTCTCCCACATCCCACCTCCAATCTCAGGCACAACTCCTCTGCCTTTGCAAGCTCGAAAGAGGAGACATCCCCTCACTTTCCAGAAAGAGGAGAGAAAAACTGGACAGGCTTAACATACATTTCAGGTGGGGGCATTCAAGTGTAGCACCAGTATCCACTTATTTCTGCTAAACCAGGCCTCTTCTTTCCTCCATTAAAACGGGACCCACACTTCATTCTTCTATTTATAAAGGCTTCACTTCAGAATCAGAAAAAGCCCCCTGCCCTTCTGAAATTGCCACAGCTGTGAAAATGGAAGGCCAGGGGGAGTCCCTTCCCAGGTCAACCAAGTCTCATTCCTGAATATGATTCTGATGAGGAGGCACAACGGGATTCCAATTTTTTTTCTCTGAGGCCAAGGGGAAGGAGGAGAAGCCAAAGCGGTGGCTGGTTTGGACACACAGTCGGCCTTCTCCTTGGAGGACCCGGGCTCACAAGATTCTTTACTCCCCTTAACTAAGAAGAACTAGATGAAATTATTTTTGATGTTAGTTTTTAGAACTGAAAAAGTGAAAGAGTACTTCCTGAATGGCAGACACCCATTTCTAAATACTGTCAGGCCTAATCCAAATATTTTATTACGATTGTAACATCAGAATGAAAAAGAGACCTTACCTTTATCAACCACATCCCAGACTTCGACCTTCACAATATCATCAGTAGCTGGAAGAGACACCCAGACATACAGATTAGAAAAGAAGAGCTCGCCCAAATGCAGTTCATTCAAACGCAGAGTCAGAACTACCCTTGACCCACGTGGCACAGAGCAGGTGGCTGGATGTGTTAAAAAAACTGAAAACCAGCCTGCACGAGCAATGTGCCTTTAGCAATGAGGAGACTAGAGCAGTAGTGATGCAAATGTTCAAATGAACACAACAGGCAGCAAAGAAAAAAACGCTTCTCCTGCTTCTGCCCCCAACAGCCAGCAAAACTCACTCTTATAATTCCAGTGGATGCTGGTGACTTGGATCTCCTGAGTTGGAATATATTCTTCAACAAACTTTTTTCCCTGCAGCCGATGCCACAGAGTGGTCTTTCCTGTGTTTCTGTCACCTCGGATGACAATTTTCACTAGGAAAGAAAAATTAAGGAATAAAACCAGTCTGCAGACTGAGGGTTCACCTTTGCGAATTCTGGTTTTTTTACACCATTGTAGTAAAAGAAGACAAACAAAACAGCGGAAGTATTCCTACCTTTGGCTATGTAAAAAAATAAACTTGGGAAGACAGAAAAGCCAAAACAGTATACTGGGAGTCTTGTAGCAAATGATTTGTTTAACCTCTTATTTGGCAAAGCAGTAGCACAGCTACCTTTCAGTAACGTGCTGCTCTTACAGTAGAGTGGGGTGGGGTGGGTAAACCTGTCCACACCCTGTATTCTGCAGAAACTGAACTCTGGGATGTGAGCAAAGGCAGACCAGCTTTTCAGACTGCATCCGATGCTGTTGACTGAACTGTTATCTTTGCCACCCCTCCTTTGCAACAATATGAAATCCTGGGAACAGAATGGGAACGAGAAGAAGAAGGAAGTCATGACAAGTGTGGAGAGCTTACCTAAGCAAACTTAGAGGGGGACAAGCTGCACTTTCTTGCATGGAGAAATTAGACCTTTCTTGCAAAAAGAGCAGCCCCACCAGTTCAGTTTGGTGCATAGCCAGGAGGAATTAAGCTTTGCCTGCCCACCAATCTAGTGCTGTTCTGTTCCTGCCACAATACTACTACTACTGATATAGGAAGGCCCACTGCTCGAGTGCAGAGCATAAAGCTAATCACCACTTAAACGCTTGATTACTACTTGTGAGAATACGCTGCAACATGTTATCTATGGCTCTTCGGACAGTCTGAAGGGAGCTCAGATACAGCCAAGGATCAACAGCAAGAGGGAACAAGCACCACTACGATCTGCACTGCCACAAGCAACGTGATGTTAAAATGCTGTCACTTGGGTTTTCCCCATAGGTATACCAGCGATACTCAAAGCTACCAACATGAAGACGGCAACACAGGCCACTGAGAGGACCTCTTTTAAGGACACCACAACTCAGATAAGCTCAACCGTATCGCCTTATTGTGGCCCACTGAGACATCATGAATCTGGCAACAACTGAAGACATGCCTGGGAATCAGCATCAGAAGTTGATCTGCACGTGACCAGATAGACAAAAGAATCAGCACGCGGAGTTCGCACACAACCTCCTCCAGAACGTAATTTAGGCCATTAATACAGAGATTAGTGACCCTGGATTGCCAAATCACTCCCAAACATGAGATAACCTCTTACTCCAAGGCAACACATCTGATGAAACTTCTCACATCCAATCTATTCTTGAAAATCACATGGATGCAGCTCTCCAGATCACCTCACAGACAACAATGCTCACCCACCTGACTCTCACTCTTTTCACGCTGAGAGAGATATGCCACTGAGGTTGCTACGGAGATTGGAAAGTTTCTCATGAAGGCGGTAATGGGAAACCGCGGTAAAAAAAAAAAGGTGATGAAGACAGAGGTAGATCTGCCACAGACCGCTTTTTTACCCTCTCCTCAGAAAACAGCCCACGAGAGAAAAGATGCAGCATGTAGGATGCCTGGTTCTCTGTTAAGAAGGCTGCTACAAATGCTGAGCAAGATGCCCCCAGCTTCTTCCATAAAGTGAGGCAAAAGCACCATCGCTGCAGAGAGAGAGAAATATTTAGTGTGCCTATATACAGGCATCCACTTTTTAAGATAAACAAATGGCTGAGGCAGGAATGGCTGTTGGCAGTTGTAGCAGTTCATGCCAATAATCTCCAGCCTTTTCAGAGGCACAATTTAGAAACTAAATTTTAAAAAATTAATTGCAGACGTTCTAAATTCCACATACTGAAAAATTAAGCTGCTCACTTAATTCCCTGTTGATCTAAACAGGGATGCGGATTCTGGAGCTTCCTGGGGAAGGGGCCACACAACTGAAATAACCTATTTCATCACCTTGGTTACTTAGATGCTATTAAAACCAGGGCATCACAGGAGGATGATCTTGGTTGCTCTGGGACAGTTAAGAAAATTCAGGTATTCACTTCAGAGAGACATCAGGGAGTGGGCCAATGCTCCCATCATTATGTCCTACTCAAACCAGGAAACTAAGTCTGTAATCCAACCACTCTCAACATAGATGCCAATTTCACTGCAATGACCTGGACTTGGTTCCAAGCAACTGAGTAGGATTGTGTTTGTGCAGCCATCCCGCAGACACAGCAGATCCCGGTGATAACATTCTCTGAGAGCGGTCTTGATCAAAGGAAAGAAGTCAGGGGCACAAAAAATATTCCAACAGCAAGACATCACTTGAAGGACTCCAAAGAAAACAAATCAGCAGCTGACTGACAAAGCAAATGCTTCTCTTCCAGTCACCAGCCTGCAGATCAACTCAACAAAGCCTCGTACATCAAAAAAACACGGCTGCAGGAGCCGGCTTCAGAAAGAAAAAAAATCACACACACAAAATCCTTTGTAAATGTTTTTGTGCATACCCAGGTGACACAGGGCAGTTTGAATAAAGCAAGAATGGGACCGGTGTCACGGGCCCTAGGGAAGGAACAACCTGATAAGTTTGAGTGCTTTTTGGAGGGGTGATAACCTCAGAAGAGTATTTACACCACTCCGAACAAGCATCTGATTCCTAAGTACGATAAGGCAGCCAGTTCCCTGCACAAAGGATGTTGGCTGCAGCTCTCTGTTTTCAGAAGTACCAAAGCTGGTCTCCGGCGAAGCCAGACATCCCAGATGTTGAGGCTGGCAGCCCTAACCGTCCTCCGAATTAACTGCTGCTCCCTGATCCCAAGCTTATTCGTTCTTCCTGGAAAAGAAAGTCAAGCGTTCGCCTAGGTATCGGCAGTCGATGCTCTCCCCTCACCCCCAACTCGCAATCCAAGTGCTCTTGCTATTGGCAGCTAGCCTCAGAGCGCATTTCGGGGAGGGGGGAAGGAAAGACAGAATCCAAAAAGCAAATTAAGGCCGTATGCACCGTTTCTCCCTCACGCAGCCCCAAAGAGCAGGCAGAGGCCGCTGGCAGGGATCGCCCAGCCCACCTTCGCCGCATAACCCCCAGAGGGAAGCCCGGCCACGTTGGGCTCCCCCCCTCGCAAGGCCCCCCGCGCCAGAGTCCCGCGAAAGAAGACGGCGACGACACCCGCAGGGCCCCCAGCCAGGCCGGGCGACCTCGCCGTGGCGCCGGAGCTCGCCCCGGACCCCCTCCAGCATCGCCCCCTCCAGCCGCCGCTCACTGTTATACTGGACGCCCTTCGCGAAGCGCCGCTGCAGCGCCTGGTTCATGGACTGGAGCCCCGCCGGGATGGGCCTGTCCCGCCCCGGGGCCTGGTCGGAGCCCACCAGCTTCTTCAAGGCCGAGAGCATTGTGAGGCGCGGGACGGCGCTCCGC